TATCTGGAATTGAAAGCTAGTATTGGTGATAAAAAACCATCACTGATTAATTTAAAAACCCATTTGGTTTATTAATATTCTTTAGAGAAAGAAAATGTCACCATTATCCAGCCTGGCCAACATGTGAAACCAGACACGCAGTTGTCGCTGAAATATCTCTAAAATGTCAGTTCATGAGAAGTTAGAGATGGACAACAAATGCCACACTCCCATCCTATGGAAGAAAATTTAAAAAATAAACTGGACCTGGGCCAAATAAATTAGATTCAAAGTAATTGGCTGCAGAAGCAAAAATGACAAGAGGTAAAAGCTCTTATTGCATAATGAGCGGTTAAGGCCTGGACTACACTGCAGGAAAGTATGGTGGAGGTATGCTTATTTGAAGCTGTTAAAAGGGAATTAGATTATTTTCTTGAGAGAATGTGCACAGCTAAGTGGTAAAAGTGGGGGAAATGGTGTTAGGTGAATTGCTGATTTGAAGAGTTGGTGCAGACATGACAGCTCCAATGACTCTATTCTGTGCTATAACTACTCCGTGATTGTGTGAAAATCGGAGGGGTGTATCAGGAGATGCATCTACGGTGAAAGTGTTTCATGGTTTTAATTGGCATTAAAAATATTGGATAGTATCTGATTTAGCAAATCAGTATCAACATAAATGTCATGATAAGTCATAGGCCAAAGGCTAGATAGTTAGGAATTTGGAAGTGCTGTGGCAAGAGACTGGAGGAAGACATTATTTTTTCCATGAATGGAGTGAATAGGTGGAAGAAATATGGGTAGAGTGTGATTTCTAGAAATGAGTAGAGATTGTGTTATCAGTGATTCTATCACAGGAAATAACAAGGTCAATAAGACAATACGGAAGATAACTTGATTGCAGCACAGCTATACACCATTTAGTCCTTTTGTTCATGTTGATGCTCCATTGCTTTTACCTTCCTTCATCTCACTGTATCAGATGGATGTAAGTTTGTTTTTAATATAGGAAAATAAGACTTTCAAGGAGGAGTAGGCCATTTGGCTCTCTGACCCTGCTCTGTTATTCAGTACAATCACAGTTTACCAGCTTGCGGTCTTGATCTCAGCTTCCTGTCTGCTCCCCATAACACATGATTCCCCTGTTCATCTGAAATCCATCGATCCCATCATTGAATGTATTTAATAACCAAACATTCACTGATTTCTATGAATAGAAGTCCACAGACTAATCACCCTTTGAGAACAAATAAAATCTCTTCCTTTTTTAAAAGGAGGACCCCTATTCTCAGATTGCGTCCCCTAATTCTAGTCTTTCCACAAGAGGATACATCGTCCTGCTACTCACCCTGTCAAGTCTACTCAGGGTCTTGCATGTTTCAATTGGATCACCTTTCATTCTTCTAAACTCTAGTTGGTATAATTTCAACCTGTTCAATGTTTTTTCGTTAGACAGGCCCTTCATCCAGAAATGAGTTGATTGAATCTTCTCTGAACTGATTTTAACCCAATTATACTCTTTTTCAAATCAAGAGACTAAAACTCTATACAGTACTCTAGATGTTGTGTCTATAAGTCCTTTACAGGTGCAATAAGACTTGGCTAACCTTTATGTTCCATTCCCTTTGCAATCAAGCCAACCATCCATTTGTCTTCCTTATCATCGGTACTGTATATTAACTTTTTGTGATTCACGTACCAGGATACCCAAATCCTTCTGTACCACTGAGTGATTATTGTTATTTCCTTGTTTCTCTTCATAACAATCTACTTTCTTATCTAATACAAGGCTACTTCTACCAGATACCTACTCTGCACCTGGTTTGAAGGTTTACTTTGGGTATCCATGACTGAAAACTTGGGTGTCATGTATCCAAATCATTATTCCTTTATGAACAATTGTAACATGTACACAGTCCAATCATCTTCCAAAATGTAGTTCAACACTCACCCTATGCCTTAGTTGTTTGATTTCCCCAAGTTACAAATATTCATGTGGTCAATCTGCCTTGTGATATTCTCCCCTTTGATAGATGACCAATCCCATCTCCTTCCTTCACCTTTGACTGCAACCAAGTCGCAACAGTTCCGAGTTTCATGAGCTCTGTGTTGAAATAGGTTTCTGCTTCTTATTGGTGCAATCTCTGATAGTAACAGTCAGTGTTATGTCCATTTTCACCACTGCCAACCACTCCTGAAACAGCGGGTCTGAGAAGAAGTCTGGCCAATCTGCTCTTAAACCTGTAGATTTTAATAATTTTAGCTCATTCCATCAAATGTGCAGTTTTGTTATTTTTTTCTCTTCATCCTGTTTGTTGTGATAGGCAAGATTTGCTGCCCAGTTTAGTGTCAGTTTCAGCAAACTACCATTACACAGGATTACTTATAAGCTGCAAAATTTCTATGAATGTCATCATATAATAATCATGGAAAATCTGAGTGAGATTACAGATATGGAATAGTTGCAAGAAGAGGTTCCAGGTGTTTTTCAATTGTGTGGAGTGACTAGAACAATGGCTAAACAAAGTCCATCATGGGAGGTCAAAGTAATACCACAAGCAGTTGTTAGGTAACTGAAACTCTATTTAAGAATGAGGAATGTTCAAAAGAAATGTTTGGCATGCCTTCATGGATTGAGGCTCATAAAGTTGATCTGGAGTAAAATTAGACAACGCAGATAGTTCATCCTGAAGGTGAGGCTGAAGGATTTCAGGAGTGTTATTGTATCAAAAAATGAGAAAGTGGAGACACCTTCAGAGACCTGCAGAGGAAGAATGGATAGTTGTTCTTCAGATGTGTTACCAAATGAAAGATTGGTTGGCAATTGAAATTTCTGTGGCAGGAAACATAGGGATATGGAAAACACAAGTATTGGCAAACAAGTATTTTATGTGGCCAGGAATTCATGAGTAAAATTCTATAAAATGTGCCTTACATGTCAGGTAATAGGAAAGTCTCAACATGTAATTAAATCACAACCTTTGATACATTACTTTTTGAAGAACCAGTCAAGTGTTAGTAGATTGTATATGACCATTGCACAAATAAAAGCAGGCCAACCAGTATATCCTTACAATTATAGATTTGACAACCCAATTTGCAGAAGCTATTCCTTTCATGATCATTACAGCTAAGATAGTATGGAATAGGTAAGTCTTTTACTTGTTATGGCCTAAAAATTGAAATGCAATCTGATCAAGGTTCTAACTTAGTCTAAAGTTTTTCAATGCATCACTAGTTTGGGTGTAAAATAAGTGAAGTCAAATGCACATTATCCACGAACACAAGGAGTATTAGAGAGATACCAACAGACATTCAAAACCATGATTAAATATCACAAATGCTCTTAGGTTTGGGACAAAGGATTAAATTTCTTATTAGGGGCTACCAGAGATTCTCCAAATTAATCTACAGGGTTTATTTTATTTAAATTGATTCTGTTCTCATATTTGGAGGAAGCACAGCAAGAGGATTAATAACGCAAGTATAGGGATATCTGTAGAGAATCGCCAGGAAGTACTACATTAACTACACAGGAAATGGATGTAGGTGATTCATGCTGATAAAACAATATTGCTTTTCTGGGCTCAACAAATCACAATGTCAGGTGGAAACAAAAATTAAGTGCATGCTATTAAGTCACTTGACTGAACCTAGTCAAAGCAGCTGAAGTTCAACCGGAAAGGTTGATTTTTGAACCAAATGGATCAACTGGAATCTGTTATAGATTACAGAAAATTCAATGCAGATTTATACCCAATTTCTTGATTAGAGGACTTTGTTATTAGGATTGGCAGTGCTTCATTTATTGCCAAGGCTAACTGTTGAAAGGATACTGGCAAGTGTCATGAACGCCAATGATTAAAGAGTTATCTACTTTTGTCACAACAAATGGATTATAACAGACGTTAGGTCATGCCATTTGGATTAAAAGAATGATCCAGCTACATTCCAAAGACGACTTAACCAATTGGTAGCTGAAGTACTGAACTCTGTAGTTTACTCAGATGAAGTAGGAGGAACATGAAAGACATTTCGAGCACATGTTTAAGAAATGTCAGTTAAAAAGCGTAGTAATAAATTTAGGCAAAAGTGAATATACAAAAGCAAGGGTGACATACCTAGGACATATTGAGGTACAAGGGCAAGTGTTGCCAAGAACAGGAAATATGAATGCTCTAATAGAATTTTCCGTTCCGAAAATCAAACAGGAAATTATAAGATTGTCAGCAATGTATAAGTTTTATCGCAGGTTTGTGTGTAACTTCATTATAATAGTTGTACTTTTAACAAATTTGTGGTAAAAACAAACAATAGTGGTGTATGGGTGGAAGAATTCCAAGCAGCCCTTGAGAAGCTGAACCCAATCTTAATAAATGAAGCAGTGTTGTCAAGCCCTGATTTTACGAAAACTCTTAAAATTGCAATCGATGCTGGTGACTTGAGAGTAGGTGCAGTCTTATTGCATGACAATGAGTCAGGAATAGAGAAACCAGTGAGGTATTATACTAAGAAACTAAACCGATATCCAAGGAAGTACTCTACAATAGAAAAGAATACTGTTGTTTCAACCGTTTAATATAAAGGTTGTTCACAAAGCCAGAAGAAAAAAAAATGTGATCACAGATGCATTCTCTCAAGTGTAAATTATGGAATAAGTTAAAGGTTTAAAGACATGCTAAATGGTTGTACAGGATAGTATAAAGGGTGAGGAAGGATGAATGGATTTTTTGTTGTTTGTATCACATAACTTGTGATAAATTTTGAAATGGTATTTTATCTCTTTCATAAGGATGGATGCTTGTATAGAGCACATCTTTTTATTTTACTTTATTTTGCATTGTGGACCTATTTTGCTCTAAGGCAAGGACTGTGGGACCATTTCTACAGGCTTTGGATTACTCACCTTACTTGTTACATCAAAGAACTCTAATGAATTAGTTTCTTTAAAGATGAATTAATTGCTGTAACACAACTGCTACATTGTTTTATGTTAACTTCTACAAATTGTTTCTTTGTAGGGTGATTTCACTTGGAACACCATGTTTGGACAAAGTGTCATACTGCAGCCTGTTCCTATTCAAAGTCTCTCTGAATTGGAGCGTGCAAGACTTCAGGAAGTGGCCTTCTTCCACCTTCAAAGGAAAAATCTGGGCTGTCAAATTACCATTCCCAAAGGTATAACTTCATATAATGATCAGTTTTCTGCTTAGACCCCTTGAATATGTGTCGGCTGAAATGCAGTTAGCAGTGCTCGTGCCTTTTAGTCAGTAAATTGTGGATTGAAGTCCTACTCTGGACTTCAAAGCAATACTCTAAGCTAATGCTCTAATGTAGTACTGAACAAGTATAGCACTGTACAGGGTGTGGTCCTTTGGATGAAACATTCAAATGAGTCTCGTTCTACTTGCTTGGATAGACAAAGAAGATCTCGTGTTAGCATTTTGAAGAAGTGGAATGGAGTTATCCTTAATGCCCTGGCCAATATTTTATCCCTCAGTTATAGTCTCATTCAGCACGGAAACAGATCTTTCGGTCCAACCAAGCGGAACATAATCCCAAATGAAACTAGTCCCTCCTGCCTGCTCATGGCCTATATCCTTCCAAATCATTCATATTCATGTACCAATCTAAATGTCTTGTAAACGTTGTAATTGTACACGCATCCACAACTTCCTCAGGAAGTTCATTCCACATGCAAACCATCCTCTGTGTAAAAAATTTCCCTCTCATGTCTTTTTTAAATCTCTCTTCTCCCACTTAAAAATGTGCCCCCAAGTCTTGAAGGGAAAAGACAACTACCATTAACTCTATCTATATCGCTCATTATTTTATAAACATCTATCATGCCACCTCATAACCTCCTCTGCTCCAGTGAAAAAGGTGCCAGCCCATCCAGCCTTTCTTTATAACTCTAACCTTCCATAACCAGCAACATCCTGGTAAATCTCTTCTGAACCCTCTCCAGCTCGGTAATATCCTTCCTATAACAGGGTGACCAGAGCTGGACACAGCATTCCAGAAGGAGGCTCACCAAAAGAAAGGACAAAGAACAATACAGCACATGATCAGGCCCTTCGGCCCTCCAAGCCAGCGCCGACACATTTTGCCCTTCCGTACTAAAACCGTCATCACTTACAGGATCTGTATCCCTCTATTCCCTTCCTAATCATGTATTTGTCCAGGTGCTTCTTGAATGCTGCTATTATGTCTGCTTCCACGACCACCTCCGGCAGTGTGTTCCGGTCACTTAGCACCCTTTGTGTGAAAAACTTGCCTCTCACATCTCTTTTAAACTTCTCCCACTGCCCCTTGAACCTGTGTCCCCCAGTAACTGACCGTCCACCCTGGGAAAAAGCCTCATACTTTCCGCTCTATCCATGCCATTCATAATCTTATAAACTTCTATTAGGTCAGCCCTCAACCTCCTGTGTTCCAGTGAAAGCAAACGCAGTCTATGCAAAATAACAAGGTGTAGAGCTGGATGAACACAGAAGGCCAAGCAGCATCAGAGGAACCTTTCTTTGTAGCTAAAATCCCCCATAGTAGACAACATCCTGGTAAACCTTTTCTGTACTGTCTCCAAAGCATCCACATCCTTCTGGTAGTGTGGTGACCAGAACTGTAAGCAATATTCCAAGAGTGGTCTGACTAAAGTTCTATAAAGCTGCAACATGACTTGTCTATCCTTATATTTAGTGCCTCTTCCAATGAAACCAAGCATGCCATAGGTCTTTTTTTACTACCTTAGCTACATGCACTGCCACCTTCAGTGATCTGTGGACCAACACACCCGGATCCCTCTGCAAAGCAATACTCCTAAGGGTTCTGTCGTTCACTGTATAATTCCCGCCTGTACTTAACCTTCCAAAATGGATCACCTCACATTTGTCTGGATTAAACTACATCTGCCATTTTTCTGACCATGTTCCAGCTGATCTATATCCTGCTGTATCCTGTGACAATCGTCGTCACTGTCCGCCACTCTACCGATCTTTGTATCGTCAGCAAACCTGCTAATTAGACCAGCTACATTTTCCTCCAAATCATTTACGTAGATCACAAACAGTTGAGGTCCCACAACTAATCCTTGTGGAACACCACTAGTCACAACCCTCCATTCCAAAAACCATCCTTCCACAGCCACCCTCTGTTTCCTATGACTAAGCCAGTTCTGTATCCATCTTGCCAACTCACCCCAATACTGCGTTACTTCACCTTTTGTAATTGTCTGCCATGAGGGATCTTGTCAAAGGCTTTACTGAAGTCCATGTAGACAACATCAACCACTTTTGCCTCATTATTCATTTTTGTCACCTCGAAAAACTCAATCAAGTTAGTGAGGCACGACCTCCCCCACACAAAACCATGCTCTTGCTATTAGGTCCATTTGCTTCTAAATGCACATAGATCTTGTCCCTGAGAATCATTTCCAATAATTTTCCTACCACAAACATGAGGCTCACAGGCCTGTAATTTCCAGGATTATCCCTGCTACCCTTCTTAAACAATGGGACAACATTAGCTATTCTTCAGGCCTCCGGGATGTTACCTGTGGCCGAAGAGGATACAAAAATGTCTTTCAATGCGCCAGCAATTTGTTCCCTTGCCTCCCTCAATATTCTGGGATAGATCTCATCAGGACTGGGGGACTTATCTACCTTAGTACATTTCAAAACGCACAACACCTCTTCCTTTTAAATAGCAACTTGGCTTAGAGATTTGAAACTTCCTTCTCTGAGATCGTCCTCACAAATTCCTTCTCTTTGGTGGATACCAACGCAAAGTATTCATTTAGGACCTCACCTACCTCGTCTGGCTCCACACATTCATTCCCTCCTTAGTCATTGAGTGGGCCAACGCCTTCCCTGGCTACCCTCTTGGTTTTTACATACGTATAAAAAAAATTGGGATTCTCCTTAATCCTGTTTGCTCATGACTTTTCATGACCCCTTTTAGCCCTTGTAATTCCTTGTTTAAGTCCTTTCCTACTTTCCCAATATATTTCAAGGACTTCTTCATTTCCCATCCTCCTAGATCTTACGTATGCTTCCCTTTTATTTTTGACCAAGGTCATAACATCCCTGGTCATCCAAGGTTCATGAACTTCCATTACCTATCCTTCATTCTCGCAAGAACATGCCACTCCTGAACTCTTAATAACTGTGGTTTGAAATACTCCCACATGTCTGATGTGGATTTACCCTCAACAGCCACTTCCAATCAACATTTTCCAGTTCCTGCCTAATATTGTTGTTTTCGCCTTCCCCCACTTTAACATCTTCATCTGAGGACTGGTGTTATCCCTATCCATGAGTATCTTAAAACTCACAAGGTTATGGTCACTGCTCCTGAAATACTGCCCCACTGAAATTTTACTCACCTGGCTGGGCTCATTTCCCAAAACCAGGTCCAGTAGAACCCCTTCCCTCGTTGGACTGTTTACATACTATGTCAAGAAACCCTCCTTAATGGTCCTTACAAATTCTGCCCCATCCAAGCCCCTAGCACAAAGTGAGTCCCAGTCAATATATGGGAAGTTAAAATTACCCTCAATATGACTTCCCAACTCTTACACTCAAAGGACTGAGCAATGATGGCAAGGATGATAAATGCCCTTTTAACCACCCTAGCTTAATGTGATAAAAACTTCAAAGAATTATGTACTTGCACCCCTATGTCCCTCTTTCTACAACACCATCCAAGGCCCTACCATTTATTGTATAAGCCCTACCTTTCATCACCAAAAACAAATACCCAGCCTGCTCTGTGCATTTGTTGTTCAATTGGTTGTTATGTTTTGTGTATTTCAACAGTAGTGACTATGCTGCAGAGAGAGGGAGTAAAGTATATCATTGGCTGTAAAGTAATGGGACATCTGGTGACCATGAAACACATCACATAAATTATAAGCCAAAGCACTAAATGTGCAGGTTGCTTATGACAAAATGAATCATTTGATAAAAGGACAATTCTTAGAAGGAGTTAACTTGGCATGCTAGACATATTTGGAGAGATTATGTCTATGAAATAGTAGAATCAAAGGGATCACTGACAGTAAAATGATCAGTAACAAGCCATGAACAGTGGGGCCACTTCTAGGTGAGAGGATGGGAGTCAAGTAAAAGGTGAAAGACAACACTAAACCTTTGTAGAAATAACTCCTGAGAAACTTTGAGTGATGTCTAATTTAAAGCAGAGGACATCCAGAAAATTCATTTTGTTGAGGGTGAACTCTCAACTTCCAGTGGAACTCGGGTGTTTATTCAGGTCAAACTAATTCATTAAAATTTGCTGTTTGTAATGAATACAATATATATTAGTGGGTAAAGTATATATTAGATCTCAATGCAGTTTTTTCTTTAAATAAGAATGCACTTTTAATCCAGAAGCTTGATCTCTTCTGTGGTTAATACATAGTCTTGCAGTCATAGTATCATACAACATGAAAACAGACTCTTCAGTCCAACTTATCCATGCTGACCCAGTTTCCCGAATCAAACTAGTCCCATTTGTCTGTAACAACAAGGTGTAGAGCTGGATGAACACAGCAGGCCAAACAGCATCAGAGGAGCAGGAAAGCTGACATTTTGGGTCTAGACGCTTCTTCCATTTGTCTGTATTTGGCCCATATCTGTCTCAGCCTTTCCTATTCAAGTACCTGTTCAAATGGCTTTTAAATGTTGTAACTATACCTGCATTTTCCATTTCCTCTGGAATTTCATTCTATATATGCGTCTGCATTTAAAAAGTTGCCCCTCAGGTCCGTTTTAAATCTTTCCCCTCTCGCCTTAACACCATGGCCTCTAGTTTTAAACTCCCCTATCCCTAGGGAAAAGGCCTTTGCAATTCACCCTATCCATGCCCCTCATGATTTTATAAACCTTTATAAAGTTACTACACAACCTCCTCTGCTCCAGGGGAAAAAAGTTCCCAGCCTGTCCAGCCTCTCATTATAACTTCAACCCTTCAGTTTTGGTTACATCCTTGTAAGTCTTTTCTGTACCCTTCCTAAATTAATAAAATCCTCCCTATGGAAGGGTGACAAGAGCCGTACACAGTATTCCAAAAATGGCCTCACCAATGTCCTGTACAGCTGCAACATGACGTCCCAGCTCCTATACTCAATGCTCTGACCAATGAAGGTAAGCGTGCCAAATGCCTTTATTATCACTCTA